TTTATTACAAAAGCACAAATAATAAAGATCAAGAAAAAAAAGGAAATTTCTACCAATGCCAACAGGTCAGGTGACAACTATACCCATACCCCTATTTATTAAAAAAAAAAGAAGACCTTTACAACCAATTTGATTTATTTAAACATTCAAGATTTCAAGACCTAAGCTGACTATAAGATAGTGTGTTGTCAAAATTGTGTGAATAGGCCAGCATGTTTGATACCTTACTAGAGAAATAATAGCACTGCAATTACAACAAACAGTGCTCAGAAGATTGAACCTTATTATAAATTAATGGACTTATCAAGTTTTGAATTTGGAAAACTCCTGTTAAAGCTTCAGAAATTTCAGTAACAACATACTAAAACCGAGTGTTTTTGTTGTCTTTTTATTGGTTCAAGTTTCTCCATGCATTAACACTATAAAGGTCATATGGTGACTTTCAAGGATTACTTGTTGAGGAAGACCTCAGGTGCCCCTCTATGAATTGAGTAATCAACAGTATAGAGCCAGGTCGAATGGCATAAAGTTAAAGATTGGTCTGAATCGGTACTGTAGGTATAGGTCTATTTTCATAACATATGGTTACAAGTTCTATAGACAGATATATTAAATGAAACCCTGTTCTACTGTTTTATAGCTACAACCAAACACATGATTAGCCACGTTTTTTACAAAGAATTCTAACACTCACGTGATTTTGCCACTATAGACAAAGAAGGAAAAAAACTGGTGTTAAACTGCCAATAAACACCGGTTAGGGACTACTTGTATATGCGCTGTTATGTTTTTACCCTCAATTGTATAGTTTATAAAGCCATTTAAAGCAACAATAAAAAGCATTTTTATTTATATTTTCAGTTCGTATAATGTTTTCTTTTCATACAATACCGAAATAATATCTCACATACACTAACGCCACATATAAGATCCATATCAGTTAATAAATATTTTGACAAAACGGCGCCAATCCGTAAGCAGCGTAATGACGTCATCCTAAGTAAACAACTCATTCATAAACAAGCTGACGTTATTTCATACATACAAGAATGATAAATGGGGCACTGATGTAAAAACAATACGACGTAAGTTTTTATTGTTGAAAACTTGATAAAATAACGTTTTCTTTCTTATTATTTCTTTTGTTTAATAATTTCTATATCTTCGCAACAGTAGGGTGCGAAAATCGAAGAGCATTATACGAAAATCGGCACCGGAAGTAATTTACGCTTGCAAAATAACATTAGTGATTTTCCTTATTTTATCGTGTTAGAATCGAAATAACATCGGCCTGAGAGGTGTATATCGGCTATTTAACACCGGTTTTGTCATTTTGATGCAACAAAATTAATTAAATCAATTCCTGCGCATCAAAACTCCAAACCGGTGTTAAATAGCCGATATACACCTCTCAGGCCGATGTTATTTCTTATATATATTACAATAGTTATTATATTATAAATCATAATTTAAAATGTGCACACAACATGATCACAGAAAAACAAATATATGTATACCTCCCCTCCTGTCTGAAATGTTTTATTATAGATAGATGATACAATGATCAAAAATTGATAATATAGATGTATCATACTAAAATTACTTATACACTTGGTTGAATTACAGTGGACACAATAAATATGGATAAGTTAATATTCTTTTTGCCTGAATCAACAAACACTAAATTATAGAATTCCTTTAAAATAGACTTTAAAGTATTCAAGTAAAATCATGGGAATGTATTTCTGTGTGTGCTCTCCCTTTTATGATAAATATTCATGCATGATGCAGTAAACTTTAATTAAGTCATAATGTGTACTTGCATAATGCTAAATTCACAATCTAAAAGTACGTATTAAGTACATGTACACTACATGTATAATTTTCTACAATCCATGTATACAATCTATATACATATATCTATTTATCAGAAATACTGAAAAATATATGACTTCATATAAATGATTGTAGTGGAAATGTAAAAAAAAAGGAAATTTTTCTCACAAAACAAGGAAACTTGTACAATTGTCTGTAAAATGTTATGGTTCTAAGGTGAAATGACTATCAAATAATTTACTTACTGAGTAGTAATGATAGTAAGTACTTCTCCAGCTTTAAAATTAAGATCACCCTTCTCTTTACTGGAAAAGTCACATATTGCTTCAAATAATCGACCCTGCAGAAACAAAAAAATTATATTTTATTACACATATACTTCTGTATCTTCAATTTTTTCAACACACTATATCAGGCAATTATTTCTTTTGTTAACAAGAGCTGTCCATAAAACAGCAAGCTAAACTATACTCAGTGCTTGACAGGGGGCACAACTCTGTAAAAAGGGGACTTAGAGTTAGTGTACCTGTGATCATCACCTTAGATAATCACAAGTTTCAATCCATTCCCTTCAGTAGTTTTGGAGTTACCAACTTGCACACAAAATCTTAATCATTATGTGATGCAAATGCCAGGGTGAGAAATTATCTCTCCCTGTTCTTCGGCTTACATAAATACATGTGTAATTCAACAACAATAAAAGAAAGTTTATTTTACAGTCACTTTAAGAAACTACAAGAATTCAATTCAACTCCCATAACTCAATAAACTAAGAATAAGTTGATAAAGAGAGTGGTTTGCATCTTTTTTCAATCCAATTTATACAAACATGAAAGTTTTAAACATTTTTATTTCACTAATTACTATGTAATAGATAATAAGCCACTTGCTAATTTACTGATAAGGCACCATTTAAGAAATCAGGATTTCAATGAAATCAATTTCAGATCAGACATTAGTAAACTTTGTTTCTGATATTCATAGACAAGAATTATTTTCATAACACCAGCATTAGAATCTTTTACTGTCACAATGTGAAAAATTGAGCAAAACCACTTAACATATGTATGTACTGGAAAAAAAAGTTTCTAATGGTATTATTTAAATATTAAAGGGACTACTTTTTTAGGACTTGTTTCTTCCTCATCATCTTCTTCCTCTTCTGTTTCCTCCTCTTCAACTTCCTCCTCACCTACTGTTTCTTCTTCTTCAACTTCTTCAATCTCTTCCTCATCATCTTCATCTGGTTTACCTTTTTCTGTCTTTGATACTTTAAAAAAAAAGTATTATAATAGAAAGTTGCGATCAATTTTCTTTAAAATAGTGTTAAGCATCTGAAGATTTTGACTTGAACCATTCATTTTCCATGTAGTTTAAACCAACAAGAAAAATCATGTCATATTTTTTTATCCTGCTACTGTTTATTTTATCAGCTGGATTAAACCTTGATTAAACACATGGTTAGCAGCAAATCAAAACTACATACAGACACTGTTTTTTACTTTGTGATAAATAGTTTTCAAGATAAGCAGAAACTATTCTGACATTTAAGACCCTGGTGATCTTGATCTTTGAAATAGAGACCCCAAAATCATAGGGGTCATCTACTAGTTATGACCAATTACTATGTGAAATATGAAGACTTTATAATAATTAGCTTTCAATATATAGAGGTCTATTTTTCAATATAGACTACTTGTCCACAAGTACTGGCAAGTCTTGAAAGCAGGCTTAAAAATGACTTTCTAATGTATGTGCTTAACTGTTTCTTCAATGACATCAAAAACAATATATTTTTCTAAAAAATCAATCTTTAACTTTCTTAGGTGTCTCTAAAGTTTCCCCAGCAGTCTCGTCACCTTCTTCATCATCATCCTCTTCTTCTTCTTCCTCTTCTCCTACCTCCTCCTCCTCCTCTTCTACCTCCTCCTCATCATCGTCATCATCATCATCTTTTTCATCTTCATCACCTTCTCCTAATTCCCTTTTTAACTCTCTGATGAAGATTTAAATTTAATGTTATTTTAAAAACAAAATATACCTGTACATCAATAGAAATGGCATCTACATTATATTGTTATACAGTCTTATATATAACTACATAACTAAGTAACTACTTCCCCAGTAAACTTAAGGGTTGCAGTACCAGTCCCCAATCTGGGCCATTTTCTGGAAGAGGTTTTGATAATTATGATGTAATCCCTAATCAAAAGCATTTTTCACTCAGGAAGCCACAGGGGGTAAACAATTAATCTTTTAATTGATCAAAATTATTGCTGATAATTGTTTGTTGGAAGGGGAATGTAGATATACCAATAAAAGGATTAGTGTCACCATTGCAATGCTGTTAGGGGATTATCGTTCGTTATTAGCGTTCTAGACTAGCTTATAAAAGCTTGACAATAAAATTATATAAAAATGTAAAATTTCTTGCTTCAAAGTAGATTATCTTAGATTTTTTTTTTACCGGGACATAAATCATCTCCGGGACAGACACCTTATTTCCGGGACTGTCCCGGACATCCGGGACGTTATGGCATGTATGCCTAAAAATAATACAATATTTTCAAAAAGCTTTTAATTGCATGTCTAATAAATATGTCCAAAATTTACATACAAGTCAAGAAAAAATAACTTGGGAACTAACAAAGGTAACTCTTATTTTGAAGCTGTGAAAGTTTGAGAATAAAGGAAAGTGAAAGGGAAAAAAGGTCAAGTATAATGTTTCAGGTGAAATTAACATAAAATTGTTCTCTGCATCCAGCAGGGATATATCCATACCTCTTTATCTTTATCTCTATACAACAAAAACAACATTAATTAACAACGGTTCAAAATAGTGTGGATAGTTTGAGTATCTTATAAACGAAGCTGTCGGTAGGACAGCAATGCATGACTATTCTTAGTGCTTGATAGTAAAAGAGCCTTGATAATGTAAAATTTTCTGAGTTAATAACAAAAGGACAAATGTTTTCTTTAAATCCATGTTACAGTTACAGGCCTTGGAGAGAGTCCTATTATACTCTCAAAGAAGAGTATAAAATTTCAACTTGTTTCAATAGAATATGAAAATATCTGAGGTGGTGTGCAAACCTAAATGTAAAAGGGGCATAATTCTGTCAAAATGCTTGATACAGTTACCTCCTCCTGTCTACAGTTTTGGGTTATAATGGTGTGAACAAGTGTGCAAAGTTTCAAAGCCATATGTCAATGGACTTTGCAAATAGTTGAGGTATTACAAAAACTTTAACGTAAATACTAAGTTATAAAAGGGGCATAATTCTGTCAAAATGCTTGATAAAGTTACCTCCTCCTGTCTACAATTTGGGTGTATGATGGTGAACAAGTGTGCAAAGTTTCAAAGCCATATGTCAATGGACTTTGCAAATATTTGAGGTATTACAAAAACTTTAACATAAATTCTAAATTGAAAAAGGGGCATAATTCTGTTAAAATGCTTGTTCCTGTCTACAGGTTGGGGTCATGATGGTAAACAAGTGTGCAAAGTTTCAAAGCCATATGTCAATGGACTTTGAAAATATTTGAGGTATTACAAAAACTTTAACATAAGTGGTTACGCCGACCCCGACGCTCGGGTGACTACAATAGCTCTAATTATTCTTATCGAATAGTCGAGCTAAAAAGTTATTGAAATAATTCTACATGCAAACCATTTGGAATGACCGAATTTTGGAAATAAAAAACAACAACAAACAAGAGCCCGGTTTGAGCCGGGTGATGCTCCCCGAATAGGTATTGGACACAGGAAAGTACACCTCTTGTAGTTTCAGAGTTATGTCCATGGAAAAAGTTCAAAGAGCAATAATTCCAAAATTAGGAAAGGCAGAGTTACTGTTCTTTGCACTGCACTTCTAATCACTGTTATCTATCAACTTACCAAGATTCTTGTTGATATCTCTTATGGTTTCCGAGTTATGTGCTGGACAACTTCAAAGAGTAAAAATAAATAAAGGGCAATAACTCCAGAATTAGGCAAAACAGAGTTATGATTCTTGTGCATTGCACATCTACCCATTGAGATACATCTATCTACAAAGTTTCATGTTGATATCTCTTATAGTTTTACAGCTATGTCCAGTACAAGATTTTTCTTAAAGGGGAGATAACTTAAAAATGAGGCTTAACAGAGTTATGTTTTTTTTGCACTGCACTTCTTCTTAATGAGATCTATCTACCTACAATGTTTCATCTTGATATCTCTTATAATTTTAGAGTTATGTTCCGGACAAAGTTCACTGTTAAAATTAACTAAGGGCAATAACTCCAAAATGAGGACAAAAAGAGTTGTTGTTCTTATGCACTGCACATCTACCCATTGACATCTATTCACCTACAAAGTTTCATGTTGATATCTCTTATAGTTTTAGAGTTATGCCCCGGACAAGATTTTTCTATAAGAGGAGATAATTCAAAAACCGGGCAAAAAAAGAGTTATGGTTCTTTGACACTGCACATCTACCCATTGAGATCTATTCACCTACAAAGGTTTCATGTTGATATCTCTTATAGTTTTAGAGCTATGCCCCGGACAAGATTTTTCTATAAGGGGAGATAATTCAAAAATGAGGCTTAACAGAGTTATGGTTCTTTTGCATTGCACTTCTACTCAATGAGATCTATTTACCTACAATGTTTCATCTTGATATCTCTTATAGTTGTAGAGTTATGTTCCGGACAAAGTTCAAAGTGTTGAAATTAACAAAGGGCAATAACTCCAAAATTAGGACAAAAAGAGTTATTGTTCTTATGCACTGCACATCTACTCATTGAGATCTATTCACCTACAAAGTTTCATGTTGATATCTCCTATAGTTTTAGAGTTATGCCCCGGACAAGAATTTTCTATAAGGGGAGATAATTCAAAAACCGGGCAAAATAGAGTTATGGTTCTTTGACACTGCACTCCCCCTCAATGCCCTCTACCACTGTATGAAGTTTAAACAAATTATCTCCAAGGGTTTTCAAGTTATGCTCCGGACAAGAAAACGGACGGACAGACGGACGGACGGACAGGGCGCCACTCGTGTTTTTTTTTAATTTTCTTTCTTTTCTAGAATTAATGCCTAAAGGAATGATGAAAAACCATAGAATCAGCACTTGTAATTTTGTTTTTCAAAAAGAAATTCACCCCTACCTTTTAGGTTTTTTATTTTTACTCTTTTTTTCTGTGCCTTCTTCATCTTCTTCATTATCTTCTTCTTCTACATAAGTAAAATACAACTACAATATTGGTTTTGTGTCAGTTTTAACCCTAAACCAGTTGAATTTGTATAATGAATATGAATATGGAACAGTCTATTCCAGGTTAAATGGATTTCATTATTAAAATACAAAAAATTGAGCTAGTAACAGTAAAGAGTATAGTTAGAGAGCACAGGTGTGAAAGCTGGCCTGATTCCATTCTTGTGGCTATTCATTTTTGTTTCCAGAAGATAAAGGCTTAAAGTTCTTATCGGACAGTTACAGTATAAATGAACTTGGATTTTTTTACCAGTACTAACATTTTTCAATGCACAAACTACCAAGAGTGATAATTCTACAAATTCTAAGGCTAAAACATTCTCAGTAAAAACATTTTCATAATATATTTCCCTCTATAGCTTTGTTTTAAATCATACAGCATATAGAAACATTCACATCTTCCTGGTAGAGAATTACCCTTCTCTGCTTCTCTGTACAATACATCAGCCATGGGATAGCTAATAAGTAAAACCAGGAATATATGAGTGTGTAAACTTGATAGTTTCCTTATATTACATGTATAGAATTCCTAGTCTTACACAATATTTCAATATACAGAAGTAAAGGGCCATTGATACACCCAGCACAATGCACTGTCAAATAGCATTTAGCTGGATAAATCATGTTGAGGCAAGATGCAAAAGCAATATAGGAGTTGAGAGACTCACAAAGAAATAATTCAATTCATCTGTCGTAGAACTGAGAGCATATATAATCATTTATTACCCTTCAAGATTTTCTAGCCCCTTTTTGATTGGATACTGATCCGCCATAGAAAATGATATTACTGAGCCAGACGAGTAATATGCACACTAAATTTCCATGTTGGGTACCCCACGTTGTAAACAACATGCGCTGTGGCGATGCGCGTACGGTTCGATTATACACAGTGTAAATTCCAATATACAAGCACATTTTAACTGCCAAATAAATAATATTTACCAAAATAGAGTTACGTGAAATATTCTCATCAGTATTGAAAACAATTATGACCTCGTCAAAGCTTGATATAAATTACAAAAAATAGTCTTCAACAGACTACTCCTTTTCTCTTGTTTAGATTCGTTAGGTACCAAAGCAAATACGTCATTTTTTTCTGTGACGTCATGATGTGGTGAAGGGGTACCCTAAAGGGAATCTTGTTTAGACGTTTCATTTGAAACAGCAATAATTTATTTTATCGTCGTCTTACTCGACAGGGAAAGGGTAATAAAATCATTATTTTGGTTTTAGAGTGAAATATGTGGATATATTACCTGCCAAGATAAAATAAAATCTTAGCAGGTAATATATCCACATATATCACTCCAAAACCAAAATAACATATAATATCACCAAACCTGGAATTATGGCTGTGAGGATGTCTAAAATGAACAAAAACTCTTTTTCTCTTACCTTCATCTGATTGTTGAACATCTTTGTATTTATTGAACATCTAAAAAAGGAAAACAAAAATAAAATGTAACAAAATTCATTATACTTTATTATCTTATGCCTTCAATTCTCAAGTCTGAGATATATGGATGCTGTTTTCAAGTGTGAAATACATTGTTCGATATCACATATATTAATATACACAAAATAAATTGTTCTAGCAAAGAATATTATTAGTTATCATTTTTAAAATGTTCATAATGAATCATTAAGAACCTCTTTCAAGCAACATTTTAAAAGAAAATATCCATAATTAAGATACATTTCTATTGTTTTCATCAATATTTGAAATCCTTGTAGAAAATGTACCCATTTTTAGACCTTTCCACTTTAAAACCATAAAAAGACTGCTGGGATAACACACAGGTTGAGTACAATGATATAAGCTTTAGTATGATAAAGAATGGTTTACAAACCTTGAGATATGTAGATGGTACAGAGCCTTTCTCCCCTTTCTCATTTTCTGCCTCCCACCAACCATCTTCTCTGTAAAATATAAAATAAACATGGATAAAACATAGCACTTAAAAAATAAAGCTCACTGAAATTCTCGTTTCGAAAGTCTGAAATATAGATCTTAATGTACTGATCTTTGAAATTTTGATATCTCTTCCTACAACTGTAACTTATATAGCATTTACACATTTCAAATGTCTTAGATATTTTTATCACTTAAACACAGTATAAAACTAAAATTGAATATGTTTAACCACAATAATAACATATCAGGAAAAGTAATTTTTTGACAGAAAAGTACAATAAATTTGTGCCTTAAAAGTAGTGCTTATCATTGGGTTTTTTTAGCATGGAAAACTTGTCATACTGAACAAGTCAGTAGTTTTTTTAAACAGATCACTTGATTGTGAAAAGTTTCAATTGAACTAAGAAAAGTGACTATGTGAGTGTTTTCCCATAAAAAATGGGGTAAATATGACCTCATTTCACAACTTAACATGTATAATATCTTTCGTTTATTACAAAAGCACAAATAATAAAGATCAAGAAAAAAAAGGAAATTTCTACCAATGCCAACAGGTCAGGTGACAACTATACCCATACCCCTATTTATTAAAAAAAAAGAAGACCTTTACAACCAATTTGATTTATTAAAACATTCAAGATTTCAAGACCTAAGCTGACTATAAGATAGTGTGTTGTCAAAATTGTGTGAATAGGCCAGCATGTTTGATACCTTACTAGAGAAATAATAGCACTGCAATTACAACAAACAGTGCTCAGAAGATTGACCCTTATTATAAATTAATGGACTTATCAAGTTTTGAATTTGGAAAACTCCTTTTAAAGCTTCAGAAATTTCAGTAACAACATACTAAAACCGAGTGTTTTTGTTGTCTTTTTATTGGTTCAAGTTTCTCCATGCATTAACACTATAAAGGTCATATGGTGACTTTCAAGGATTACTTGTTGAGGAAGACCTCAGGTGCCCCTCTATGAATTGAGTAATCAACAAGATAGAGCCAGGTCGAATGGCATAAAGTTAAAGATTGGTCTGAATCGGTACTGTAGGTATAGGTCTATTTTCATAACATATGGTTACAAGTTCTATAGACAGATATATTAAATGAAACCCTGTTCTACTGTTTTATAGCTACAACCAAACACATGATTAGCCACGTTTTTTACAAAGAATTCTAACACTCACGTGATTTTGCCACTATAGACAAAGAAAGAAAAAAACTGGTGTTAAACTGCCAATAAACACCGGTTAGGGACTACTTGTATATGCGCTGTTATGTTTTTACCCTCAATTGTATAGTTTATAAAGCCATTTAAAGCAACAATAAAAAGCATTTTTATTTATATTTTCAGTTCGTATAATGTTTTCTTTTCATACAATACCGAAATAATATCTCACATACACTAACGCCACATATAAGATCCATATCAGTTAATAAATATTTTGACAAAACGGCGCCAATCCGTAAGCAGCGTAATGACGTCATCCTAAGTAAACAAATCATTCATAAACAAGCTGACGTTATTTCATACATACAAGAATGATAAATGGGGCACTGATGTAAAAACAATACGACGTAAGTTTTAATTGTTGAAAACTTGATAAAATAACGTTTTTTTTCTTATTATTTCTATTGTTTAATAATTTCTATATCTTCGCAACAGTAGAGTGCGAAAATCGAACAGCGTTATACGAAAACGGGCACCGGAAGTTATTTCCGCTTGAAAAATAACATTAGTTATTTTCCTTATTTTATCGTGTTAGAATCGAAATAACATCGGTCTGAGAGGTGTATATCGGCTATTTAACACCGGTTTTGTCGTTTTGATGCGACAAAATTCCTGCGCATCAAAACTCCAAACCGGTGTTAAATAGCCGATATACACCTCTCAGGCCGATGTTATTTCTTAAATATATTACAATAGTGTGCACACAACATTATCACAGAAAAACAAATATATGTATACCTCCCCTCCTGTCTGAAATGTTTTATTATAGATAGATGATACAATGATCAAAAATTGATAATATAGATGTATCATACTAAAATTACTTATACACTTGGTTGAATTACAGTGGACACAGGAAATATGGATAAGTTAATATTCTTTTTGCCTGAATCAACAAATACTTAAATTATAGAATTCCTTTAAAATAGACTTTAAAGTATTCAAGTATAATCCTGGGAACGTATTTCTTTGTGTGCTCTCCCTTTTATGATAAATATTCATGATGCAGTAAACTTTAATTAAGTCATAATGTGTACTTGCATAATGCTAAATTCACAATCTGAAAGTACGTATTAAGTACATGTACACTACATGTATAATTTTCTACAATCCATGTATACAATCTATACATATATCTATTTATCAGAAATACTGAAAAATATATGACTTCATATAAATGATTGTAGTGGAAATGTAAAAAAAAGGAAATTTTTCTCACAAAACAAGGAAACTGGTACAATTGTCTGTAAAATGTTATGGTTCTAAGGTGAAATGACTATCATATAATTTACTTACTGAGTAGTAATGATAGTTAGTACTTCTCCAGCTTTAAAATTAAGATCACCCTTCTCTTTACTGGAAAAGTCACATATGGCTTCAAATAATCGACCCTGCACAAACAAAAAAATTATTTTATTACACATATACTTCTGTATCTTCAATTTTTTCAACACACTATATCAGGCAATTATTTCTTTTAACAAGAGCTGTCCGTAAAACAGCAAGCTCAACTATACTCAGTGCTCGACAGGGGGCACAACTCTGTAAAAAGGGGACTTAGAGTTATGGTACCTGTGATCATCACCTTAGATAATCACAAAAACAAACGTGTGAAGTTTCAATCCATTCCCTTCAGTAGTTTTGGAGATACCAACTTGCACACAAAATCTTAATCATTATGTGATGCAAATGCCAGGGTGAGAAATTATCTCTCCCTGTTCTTTGGTTTAAATAAATACATGTGTAATTCAACAACAATAAAAGAAAGTTTATTTTACAGTCACTTCAAGAAACTACAAGAATTCATAACTCAATAAACTAAGAATAAGTTGATAAAGAGAGTGGTTTGCATCTTTTTTCAATCCAATTTATACAAACATGAAAGTTTTAAACATTTTTATTTCACTTATTACTATGTAATAGATAATAAGCCACTGGCTAATTTACTGATAAGGCACCAATCCAATACCAGTTTTAAGAAATAAGGACTTCAATGAAATCAATTTCAGATCAGACATTAGTAAACTTTGTTTCTGATATTCATAGACAAGAATTATTTTCATAACATCAGCATTAGAATCTTTTACTGTCACAATGTGAAAAATTGAGCAAAACCACTTAACATATGTATGTACTGGAAAAAAAAGTTTCTAATGGTATTAAAGGGACTACTTTTTTAGGACGTGTTTCTTCCTCATCATCTTCTTCCTCTTCTGTTTCCTCCTCTTCAACTTCCTCCTCACCTACTGTTTCTTCTTCTTCAACTTCTTCAATCTCTTCCTCATCATCTTCATCTGGTTTACCTTTTTCTGTCTTTGATACTTTAAAAAAAAAAAAAGTATTATAATAGAAAGTTGTGATCAATTTTCTTTAAAATAGTGTTAAGCATCTGAAGATTTTGACTTGAACCATTCATTTTCCATGTAGTTTAACCAACAAGAAAGTTCATGTCCTATTTTTTTATCCTGCTACTGTTTATTTTATCAGCTGGATAAAACCTTGCCGAATAATCTTATCTATCTCCAGTCCTTACTTCATATGATGAAGTCACATGGTTAGCAGCAAAACAAAACTACATACAGACACTGTTTTTTACTTTGTGATAAATAGTTTTCAAGATAAGCAGAAACTATTCTGACATTTAAGACCCTGGTGACCTTGATCTTTGAAATAGAGACCCCAAAATCATAGGGGTCATCTACTAGTTATGACCAATTACTATGTGAAATATGAAGACTTTTTCAATATATAGAGGTCCGTTTTTCAATATAGACTACTTGTCCACAAATACTGGCAAGTCTTGAAAGCAGGCTTAAAAATGACTTTCTAATTATGTGCTTAACTGTTTCTTCAATGACATCAAAAACAATATATTTTTCTAAAAAATCTCTCTTTAACTTTCTTAGGTGTCTCCAAATGTTCCCCAGCAGTCTCATCACCTTCTTTATCATCATCCTCTTCCTCTTCTTCCTCTTCTCCTACCTCCTCCTCCTCCTCTTCTACCTCCTCCTCATCATCGTCATCATCATCATCTTTTTCATCTTCATCACCTTCTCCTAATTCCCTTTTTAACTCTCTGATGAAGATTTAAATTTAATGTTATTTTAAAAACAAAATATACTTGTACATCAATAGAAATGGCATCTACATTATATTGTTATACAGTCTTATATATAACTACATAACTAAGTAACTACTTCCCCAGTAAACTTAAGGGTTGCAGTACCAGTCCCCAATCTGGGCCATTTTCTGGAAGAGGTTTTGATAATTATGATGTAATCCCTAATCAAAAGCATTTTTCACTCAGGAAGCCACAGGGGGTAAACAATTAATCTTTTAATTGATCAAAATTATTGCTGATAATTGTTTGTTGGAAGGGGAATGTAGATATACCAATAAAAGGATTAGTGTCACCATTGCAATGCTGTTAGGGGATTATCGTTCGTTATAAGCGTTCTAGACTAGTTTATAAAAGCTTGACAATAAAATTACATAAAAATGTAATATTTCTTGCTTCAAAGTAGATTATCTTAGATTTTTTTTTACCGGGACATAAATCATCTCCGGGACAGACACCTTATTTCCGGGACTGTCCTGGACATCCGGGACGTTATGGTATGTATGCCTCAAAATAATACAATATTTTCAAAAAGCTTTTAATTGCATGTCTAATAAATATGTCCAAAATTTACATACAAGTCAAGAAAAAATGTCTTGGGAACTAACAAAGGTAACTCTTATTTTGAAGCTGTGAAAGTTTGAGAATAAAGGAAAGTGAAAAGGAAAAAAGGTCAAGTATAATGTTTCAGGTGAAATTAACATAAAAATTGTCGTCTGCATCCAGCAGGGATATATCCATACCTCTTTATCTTTATCTCTATACAACAAAAACAACATTAATTAACAACGGTTCAAAATAGTGTGGATAGTTTGAGTATCTTATAAACGAAACTGTCGGTAGGACAGCAATGCTCGACTATTCTTAGTGCTTGATAGTAAAAGAGCCTTGATAATGTAAAATTTTCTGAGTTAATAACAAAAGGACAAATGTTTTCTTTAAATCCATGTTACAGTTACAGGCCTTGGAGAGAGTCCTATTATACTCTCAAAGAAGAGTATAAAATTTCAACTTGTTTCAATAGAATATGAAAATATCTGAGGTGGTGTGCAAACCTAAATGTAAAAGGGGCATAATTCTGTCCAAATGCTTGATACAGTTACCTCCTCCTGTCTACAGTTTTGGGTTATAATGGTGTGAACAAGTGTGCAAAGTTTCAAAGCCATATGTCAATGGACTTTGCAAATATTTGAGGTATTACAAAAACTTTAATGTAAATACTAAGTCATAAAAGGGGCATAATTCTGTCAAAATGCTTGGTACAGTTACCTCCTCCTGTCTACAGATTGGGTTCATGATGGTGAACAAGTGTGCAAAGTTTCAAAGCCATATGTCAATGGACTTTAAAAATATTTGAGGTATTACAAAAACTTTAACATAAATTCTAAGTTGAAAAAGGGGCATAATTCTGTTAAAATGCTTGATACAGTCACCTCTTCCTGTCTACAGGTTGGGGTCATGATGGTTAACAAGTGTGCAAAGTTTCAAAGCCATATGTCAATGGACTTTGAAAATATTTGAGGTATTACAAAAACTTTAACATAAGTGGTTACGCCAACACCGACCCCGACACTCGGGTGACTACAATAGCTCTAATTATTCTTATCGAATAGTCCAGCTAAAAAGTTATTGAAATAATTCTACATGCAAACCATTTGGAATGACTGAATTTTGGAGAAAAAAAACAACAACAAAAAATTGTTGAATTTAAGAACATGCATAGTTACATTAATATGACAACACAACTTTTACTCAATGGACCATAAATTACCACAATCTTGATGGATTTGAATGAAAACACAAAACTAATATTAGGGTACGGAATTTTGTAATCCTTTCTTCAGTTTAAATTTGGTCAACCGTAAGATATTCATTACATTTTGTACATATATATTTAACAAAAATAGATAAAACACATAAGATGTAAAAAAAATTATTAATGCTGATTTTCCAGTCATTTTTACTGAAAAATTTAAGTGCCGATTTTATCTTCTGCTGTGGGGTAAAAAGACCGTGTTTTGTATACCTCATTCAGGACCTCAAAGCAGTACCAGTAGGCAGTTTCCATTTTCATACATAATTTTTGTTGTTTTGTAAAGTCTTTGAACTGAACTTTGTTTAGGTGGTTCACTTTTTAAAATATACAGGAAGATAATGAAGATATTGCAAAAAAATGTGTGATTTAGTGTCGGAGTTATCTCTCCAACTAAAATGTTTTAAATGTTGATGCTCCCTAACTTTAGACCTGACATAAAAATGAAACTGAATGTGGAATTAGAAACAATTAATAGTATGACATCATAAACTAGCATGAATAAAAGAATAAGAAGATAGTTACACAATTTACTCGTGTTTTTTTTTTAATTTTCTTTCTTTTCTAGAATTAATTCCAAAAGGAATGATGAAAAACCATAGAATCAGCACTTGTAATTTTGTTTTTCAAAAAGAAATTCACCCCTACCTTTTAGGTTTTTTATTTTTACTCTTTTTCTCTGTGCCTTCATCACCTTCCTCTTCCTCATCTTCATCTTCTTCATTATCTTCATCTTCTACATAAGTAAAATACAACTTCAATATTGGCTGTATGTCAGTTTTAACCCTAAACCAGTTGAATTTGTATAATGAATATGAATATGGAACAGTCTATTCCAGGTTAAATGGATTTCATTAAGTACAGTTCGATTATACGCGGTGTAAATTCCAATATACAAGCACATTTTAACTGCCAATTAAATAATATTTACCAAAATAGAGTTATGTGAAATATTCTCATCAGTATTGACTCGTCAAAGCTTGATATCAATTACAAAAAATAGTTTTCAACAGACTACTCCTTTTCTCTTGTTTAGATTTGTTAGGTACCAAAGCAAATACGTCATTTTTTTATGTGACGTCATGTTGTGGTGAAGGGGTATCCTAAAGGGAATCTTGTTTAGACGTTTCATTTGAAACAGCAATAATTTATTTTATCGTAGTCTTACTCGACAGAGAAAGGGTAATAAAATCATTATTTTGGTTTTAGAGTGAAATATGTGGATATATTACCTGCCAAGATAAAATAAAATCTTAGCAGGTAATATATCCACTTATCACATAAACTGCGGCGCAGGAGTGTAATAAAGCCATTTAATAAAAACGATATTACACTAGACGATATTACACTAGTGTAATAACACTTTGACGTCACGTCATTTGCACTATAAACATAGCGTTAAAGCGCGCTAATGTTAGCGTTACACTATAGGCGCGTCAAAGAAAAATGACTCTTGTTAACAGTTTACCGTTCTTATTTTATATATGTAATAAATAGAATATTATATTCGTGTAGATTCAATACTATATTTATTGAACTCATTGAATAAAACAATATTATGCTCGCCAGAGGCTCGCATAATATGATTTTATTCAACTCGTTCAATAAATTTAGTATTACACCTACACTCATTTAATATCCTCTATATACATCACTCCAAAACCAAAATAACATATAATATCACCAAACCTGGAATTATGGCTGTGAGGATGTCTAAAATGAACAAAAACTCTTTTTCTCTTACCTTCATCTGATTGTTGAACATCTTTGTATTTATTGAACATCTAAAAAAGGAAAACAAAAATAAAATGTAACAAAATTCATTATACTTTATTATCTTATGCCTTCAATTCTCAAGTCTGAGATTTCAAGTGTGAAATACATTGTTTGGTATCACATATATTAATATACACAAAATAAATTGTTCTAGCAAAGAATATTATTAGTTATCATTTTTAAAATGTTCATAATGAATCATTAAGAACCTCTTTCAAAGAAAATATCCATAATTAAGATATGTAGAAAATGTACCCATTTTTAGACCTTTCCACTTTAAAACCATAAAAAGACTGCTGGGATAACACACAGGTTGAGTGCAATGATATAAGCTTTAGTATGATAAAGAATGGTTTACAAACCTTGAGATATGTAGATGGTACAGAGCCTTTCTCCCCTTTCTCATTTTCTGCCTCCCACCAACCATCTTCTCTGTAAAATATAAAATAAACATGGATAAAACATAGAGCGCGTGTGGGTATTACCGAACGTGCGTGTATTTCCGAACACAATTTTTTTTCCACCATAACCTTCTTAATGTTCTTCTTATAAGGCAGTGACATCAGAAACATGATGTCACTTCCTTTCCCGACATATCTGTAATATTGCCAACGTGATACTTGACAAAGCAAAGATTTCCAAGACTAAAATACTACTACGCTTGACAAGTATGTATTCCGTTACAAATATTCTAATTTTAGATACTTGACGTCATAAGGTTATCTGGTCACGTGATTTTGATAAGTCACATGTTTCTTGTTATTTGTGAAACTAATACATGTACTGTGATATGGGAAATAACTCAATATGTCACTTAGATATTTATTTACTGAGTTATTTGCATGTTCGGAATTACAAGCAGTTAAATTTTGTCATGTGTGTATTACCGAACGCAATGCTTACACTGATTAAAACAACACAGTTATCATTATTATAGCGTTATAAATTTATCTAAATACAAAATAAATAATTTCATACATCTAAATAAATAAAATAAATTAATTAATTAAGCAATTATCAATCAATTGATTAAAATAAATAAATAAATAAATAAATAAATAAATTAATTAATTGATTAATTAATTAATTAATGCTTTCATTCAACCAATCAAAAAGATATATAGAAAAATAAATAAATGAATAAGTAAATATAAAAATAGAATAACAAATGAATAGATAAACAAATAAATAGCTCTAGAGAAAGAAAAAAATGATCAGACAGACATAGACAATTTCTTTTTATGAATGAGCAGGGAGAAAAAACGCAAAACGAGAGCGTAATTGAGCAGAATTAAAATGCTTGACCATGTAGCTGAATTAGATCGTTTAAACTCTGTTAGTTGAAACCAAGCATCAAAAAAGGATGGGATTCCATAGTCCACCCCTCACAATACTGTCCCGGTCATAAGTTGGCCAGTTCTAACTAAAGTCTGAGGATAGACGTATTGTAGAATTGGTCATGCACGTCATGTCTCAATTATCGGCTATGGAGGCACAAGACTAGAGCTTGCACACACTTGAACTTGAAAATACTTTATGGTGAAAGTCCCTGAACAGCTTTCGTGAAAACAAATCTAGCAGATCTTGGCTGGAGGGTTACTTTCGCCGCAACCCTGAACTGACTCTTCGTACAACCATTCAGCTTGGAAAAGAGAAAGGGGGAGAGAGAGAGATCGATCGATTGTTTCCCAGAAAAGGTTAAAAGATTAAAAGATTGTTTTCTGAGTTCAAACACTACCTTAGGGAGGAGTTAAAAGATACAGATTTACGTAGATTTCACATTACCTGAGTATCTGACAAGTACCTCTTTTGAGTACAAATATTGTTAAGATCACATGGTCAGCTGTTATTGAATGAAAATTAATTTGTCTTTAAATTATTTAATATTTACACATTTGAACACGTAATATAACATGTTATCTATGTCTCTGGTAATACATTGTTCAATAGTGAATACTTGCGAAACATTAATGCTTACATCAATAGTGAAATGATTTGTTTTTAATTTATCTATATTTCAGGTGAAGATTAACGTTTTTTTAAAAAAGTTGGCAGTGTTCGGAAATACACGCATGTGTGTTCGGTATTACACGCATATGGTCGGTAATAGAAGCAGTCAGGTCTAATATATGAAATGTCATAACTCTTTAGATAATGTGCGTAGATAAGTGTTTCTTGCATGTAAATGTAAAGGAAAACTCATATTCGTCAAATGTCAATTGAAAATCGTGATTACTGCGTGTATTACCGAATACTACTTATTTCACCTTAAGTGTTCGGTAATACCCACACCCGCTCTAGCACTTAACCGTGAAAAAATAAAACTCACTGAAATTCTCGTTTCGAAAGTCTAAAATATAGATCTTAATGTACTGATCTTTAAAATTTTGATTTCTCTTCCTACAATTATAACTTATATAGCATTTACACATTTCAAATGTCTTAGATATTTTTATCACTTAAACACAGTATAAAACTAAAATTGAGTATGTTTAACCACAATAATAACAAATCAGGAAAAGTAATTTTTTGACAGAAAAGTACAATAAATTTGTGCCTTAAAAGTAGTGCTTATCATTGGGTTTTTTTTGCATGGAAAACTTGTCATACTGAACAAGTCAGTAGTTTTTTAGCTCACCTGTCACAAAGTGACAGGGTGAGCTTTTGTGATCGCTTTTCGTCCGGCATACGCCCGGCGTCCGTAAACTTTTACTTTAAATGACATCTCCTCATAAACCACTAGGCCAATTTCATCCAAACTTCACAGGAATGTTCCTTTGGTGGTCACCTTTAAAAATTGTTCAAAGAATTTAATTCCATGCAGAACTCTGGTTGCCATGGCAACCGAAAGAAAAAACCTTTAAATATCTTCTTTTAAACAACCCTAAGAGCAAGAGCTTAGATATTTGGCATGAAACATCTTCTAGTGAGTGTCTACAAAGTTTGTTCAAATAAAAGCCCTGGGGACAAAATTGGCCCCGCCCCAGGGGGTCATTGATTTTCCCTATATGCATATAGTAAAAACTTAAAAAATCTTCTTTTAAAGAACCCAAAGAGCTAGAGCTAAGATATTTAGCATGAAACATGTTCTAATGAGTGTCTACCAAGTTTGTTCAAATAAAAGCCCTGGGGTCAAAATTGGCCCCGCCCCAGGGGGTCATTCAAAATCTTCTTTTAAAGAACTCAAAGAGCTAGAGCTAAGATATTTAGCATCAAACATGTTCTAATAGGTGTCTACCAAGTTTGTTCAAATAAAAGCCCTGGGGTCAAAATTGGCCCCGCCCCGGGGGTCATTGATTTTCCTTATATGTGTATAGCAAAAACTTAAAAAATCTTCTTTGAAAAAACCCAAATAGCTAAAGTTTAGATATTAAGCATGAAACATTTCTAGTGAGTGTCTACAAAGTTTGTTCAAATAAAAGACCTGGGGTCAAAATTGCCCCCCCCCCCCCCCCGGGGTCATTGATTTTCCTTATATGTGTATAGCAAAAACTTAAAATCTTCTTTGAAAAAACCCAAATAGCTAGAGTTTAGATATTAAGCATGAAACATCTTCTAGTAAGTGTCTACAAAGTTTGTTCAAATAAAAGCCCTGGGGTCAAAACTGGCCCCGCCCCAGGGGTGTCATTGTTTTTAACTATATGTGTATAGTAAAAACTTTAAAAAATCTTCTTTTAAAAAGCCCAATGAGCTAGAGCTTAGATAATTAGCATGAAACACCTTCTTATGGGTGTCTACCAAATCTGCCATCCGGTTTAAGAGGAGTTGCGTTCACAAAATTTCTATATAGTATATAATGAAAAAATCAACAAAGTGCCATAATTCTGTTAAATTTGGTTGCAGCAAAAATTCCTTCCTTTACTACCATCTACACATTAAGGTTGTTCATCCCTGTAAGTTTAAGCAAAATCTGTCATCCGGTTTAAGAGGAGTTGCGTTCACAAAATTTCTACATAGTATATAGTGAAAAAATCAACAAAGGGCCATAATTCTGTAAAATTTGGTCGCAGCAAAAATTCCTTCCTTTGCTGTTATCTACACCTTAAGGTTGTTCATCCCTGTAAGTTTAAGCAAAATCTGCCATCCGGTTTAAGAGGAGTTGCGTTCACAAAATTTCTACATAGTATAGAGTGAAAAAATCAACAAAGGGCCATAATTCTGTTAAATTTGGTCGAAGCAAAAATTCCTTCCTTTACTACCATCTACACATTAAGGTTGTTCATCCCTGGAAGTTTAAGCAAAATCTGCCATCCGGTTTAAGAGGAGTTGCATTCACAAAATTTCTACATAGTATATAGTGAAAAGATCAACAAAGGGCCATAATTCTGTAAAATTTGGTCGCAGCGAAAATTCCTTCCTTTGCTGCCATCTACACCTTAAGGTTGTTCATCCCTGTAAGTTTAAGCAAAATCTGCCATCCGGTTTAAAAGATGCTGTGTTCACAAAATTTCTACATAGTATATAGTGAAAAAATCAACAAAGGGCCATAATTCTGTTAAATTTGATCGCAGCAAAAATTCCTTCCTTTACTGCCATCTACACCTTAAGGTTGTTCATCCCTGTAAGTTTAAGCAAAATCTGCCATCCGGTTTAAGAGGAGTTGCGTTCACAAAATTTCTACATAGTATATAGTGAAAAAATCAACAAAGGGCCATAATTCTGTTAAATTTGGTCGCAGCAAAAATTCCTTCCTTTACTACCATCTACACATTAAGGTTGTTCATCCCTGGAAGTTTAAGCAAAATCTGCCATCCGGTTTAAGAGGAGTTGCATTCACAAAATTTCTACATAGTATATAGTGAAAAAAATCAACAAAGGGCCATAATTCTGTAAAATTTGGTCGCAGCGAAAATTCCTTCCTTTACTGCCATCTACACCTTAAGGTTGTTCATCCCTGTAAGTTTAAGCAAAATCTGCCATCCGGTTTAAGAGGAGTTGCGTTCACAAAATTTCTACATAGTATATAGTGAAAAAATCAACAAAGGGCCATAATTCTGTTAAATTTGATCGCAGCGAAAATTCCTTCCTTTACTGCCATCTACACCTTAAGGTTGTTCATCCCTGTAAGTTTAAGCAAAATCTGCCATCCGGTTTAAGAGGAGTTGCGTTCACAAAATTTCTACATAGTATATAGTGAAAAAATCAACAAAGGGCCATAATTCTGTTAAATTTGGTCGCAGCGAAAATTCCTTCCTTTACTACCATCTACACATTAAGGTTGTTCATCCCTGTAAGTTTAAGCAAAATCTGCCATCCGGTTTAAGAGGAGTTGCGTTCACAAGATTTCGGGACGTACGGACGGACTGACGGATGGACTGACTGAATGACGGACAGACGGACGGACAAGTGCAACGCTATATGCTCCCACATTGTGGGGGCATAAAAATGGGGTAAATATGACCTCATTTCACAGCTTAACATGTATAATTTCTTTTGTTTATTACAAAAGCACAAATAATAAAGATCAAGAAAAAAAAGGAAATTTTTACCAATGCCAACAGGTCAGGTGACAACTATACCCATACCCCTTTTTATTAAAAAAAAAGAAGACCTTTACAACCAATTTGATTTATTAAAACATTCAAGATTTCAAGACCTAAACTGACCATAAGATAGAGTGTTGTCAAAATTGTGTGAATAAGCCAGCATGTTTGACAGTCACACCTAGTGACCTAACTAGAGAAATCATAGCACTGCAATTACAACAAACAGTGCTCAGAAGATTGACCCTTATTATAAATTAATGGACTTATCAAGTTTTGAATTTGGAAAACTCCTTTTAAAGCTTCAGAAATTTCAGTAACAACATACTAAAACCGAGTGTTTTTTGTTTGTTTGTTTTTTGGTTCGAGTTTCTCCATGCATTAACACTATAAAGGTCATATGGCGACTTTCAAGGATTACTTGTTGAGGAAGACCTCAGGTGCCCTTCTATGAATTGAGTAATCAACAGTATAGAGCCAGGTCGAATGGCATAAAGTTAAAGATTGATCTGAATCGGTACTGTAGGTATAGGTCTATTTTCATAACATATGGTTACAACTTCTATAGACAGATATGTTAACTGAAACCCTGTTCTACAGTTTTATAGCTACAACCAAACACATTATTAGCCATGTTTTTTACAAAGAAATATATTACAATAGTTATTATATTATAAATCATAATTTAAAATGTGCACATAACATTATCACAGAAAAACAAATATATGTATACCTCCCCTCCTGTCTGAAATGTTTTATAGATGGATGATACAATGATGAAAAATTGATAATATAGATGTATTATACTAAAATTACTAATACACTTGGTTGAATTACAGTGGACACAGTAAATATGGATAAGTTAATATTCTTTTTGCCTGAATCAACAAATACTTAAATTATAGAATTCCTTTAAAATAGACTTTAAAGTATTCAAGTATAATCCTGGGAAAGTATTTCTTTGTGTGCTCTCCCTTTTATGATAAATATTCATGATGCAGTAAACTTTAATTAAGTCATAACATGTACTTGCATAATGCTAAATTCACAATCTGAAAGTACGTATTAAGTACATGTACACTACATGTATAATTTTCTACAATCCATGTATACAATCTATACATATATCTATTTATCAGAAATACTGAAAAATATATGACTACATATAAAATAATGATTGTAGTGGAAATGTAAAAAAAAGGGAAATTTTTCTCACAAAACAAGGAAACTGGTACAATTGTCTGTAAAATGTTATGGTTCTAAGGTGAAATGACTATCAAATAATTTACTTACTGAGTAGTAATGATAGTTAGTACTTCTCCAGCTTTAAAATTAAGATCACCCTTCTCTATACTGGAAAAGTCACATATTGCTTCAAATAATCGACCCTGCACAAACAAAAAAATTATATTTTATTACACATATACTTCTGTATCTTCAATTTTTTCAACACACTATATCAGGCAATTATTTCTTTTGTTAACAAGTCATTTAGAGCTGTCCATAAAACAGCAAGCTCAACTATACTCAGTGCTTGACAGGGGGCACAACTCTGTAAAAAGGGGACTTAGAGTTATGGTACCTGTGATCATCACCTTAGATAATCACAAGTTTCAATCCATTCCCTTCAGTAGTTTTGGAGATACCAACTTGCACACAAAATCTTAATCATTATGTGATGCAAATGCCAGGGTGAGAAATTATCTCTCCCTGTTCTTCAAATAGTCGGCTTAAAATAAATACATGTGTAATTCAACAACAATAAAAGAAAGTTTATTTTACAGTCACTTCAAGAAACTACAAGAATTCAATTCAACTCACATAACTCAATAAACTAAGAATAAGTTGATAAAGAGAGTGGTTTGCATCTTTTTTCAATCCAATTTATACAAACATGAAAGTTTTAAACATTTTTATTTCACTAATTACTATGTAATAGAAAATAAGCCACTGGCTAATTTAATGATAAGGCACCAATCCAATACCAGTTTTAAGAAATCAGGACTTCAATGAAATCAATTTCAGATCACACATTAGTAAACTTTGTTTCTGATATTCATAGACAAGAATTATTTTCATAACACCAGCGTTAGAACCTTTTACTGTCACAATGTGAAAAATTGAGCAAAACCACTTAACATATGTATGTACTGCAAAAAAAAAGTTTCTAATGGTATTATTTAAATATTAAAGGGACTCATCTGAGGTTTTTAGACATGAAGGGACTGGAAACACAAATTTTCATATCATTCCCTCCCCTAGATTTTCCAGAATTGTCATTTTTATTGTGCAAAATGACCCTAAAATCAGGATTGCATAAAAAATCGATAATCAATACAGTTCTGAGTATATTTCTTTGTTATCCTTTGCAGATATTTCTATTTTAAGTGTTTCTCTTGAATTATGCCATTCATGAAATGTGTATAAAACTTGACAACAGTTTGTACTTGGTCTTCAGAAATGTAGCAAGGTAAATATTCTTATTACGCGGAAAGTCCGAGCGGGGCCAAAGGCCCCGCGAGGGCTGTAGCGCTCTTAGATAACATGTATGACGCGTATCAGTTCAAATGAAATCAAATTCAAACTAAATGAAAATTTCAAAAAAATATATATCCTATACCTAATAAGCTGTGAAAAAATCCTTAGTTAACTGGGCGCCGCCATTTTGAAATCCTTTTGAGCTAAATATAGATATCACAGCGCTTTTAATGAGCGTCTACATAATTCAGACTATTGCTAGCAGACGCATGCTAAGTAACACATCCGGTGAAAGAATGATGTACAAAATCAGAAAATAAACCTGCATTTCATTGATAAGAATTAAAGTAACAATTATAAATATAAAAAGTTACTTTAACATATCCTTTTTGATAAATTAGCACATTAAAAATAACGTTAAAACAACAACTGTGATTAGAGATTAACAAAAATGGCGGACGGGATTTTCCAAACGCCGACACATGCACAGTGGTCCCCTTTACGTTCGGAGGTTTTTCGGAATATTCCGAGCGCTCCGATGATAGGTTGAACACCATCAATTTATTCGTTTTGTTTATGGTACAAAATACCTTCAAGAAAGATCTGGTTTACATGTACACTAAATATGTAAGGCTAAAATCATAATTCATAAGAGCTTTCCGCGCCATAGGCAGTCTATGCGAAAGTCAATTTTTTTTTCAGGCCACAAGGACCGGCACCATTAGGTTTATTTCCGGCCCGAATGATTTTTTTCCGGCCCGGACATTTCAAGCATTAAATCAAACTAAAAATACGGGATCGGTTTACAATAAAAAATCCTGAAATCACATTACAGTAACATATTTTATTGTTTATTCTTATTCATTTTATTATCAGGTTATTGTTGTTCATCTGCAAACATTGATATTTTTTTGGAGTTTAGCTCTTCATCCTGGAAATCACTAAAGTAGTCACTGTCATCATCATAGTCTAAATCTATGTCTGAGTCTAAATCTGACTCAGAGTCACTCGCAGATTGTTCAATATGAATTTCTTTTTGCTGCATCTCTGCGATGATAACTTGATCATCTTGTTCCTGAACATCTGAATTTTCTAGGGCACTTTCGGTTGCTCTGGAAACAGTACTCTCTGGCTCTAGGGTGACATTATCCTTGAGATTCTTTGGGGTACGGAAGTAGTTCAGCCTTCTACCAGCCCTTGGTTTCAAACTATTACCCTGAATATGAAATCAATTTTCATTAAATCAATAAAATTTATTCAAGCACTGAATATTGACATTTTAATTTCTTTTTTATTTTATAACCTGTGTAAATATATTTCAACAAATAATTTGAATTGCACAGAAATAGATGTGCTATATCATAATTTTACAAAGTTATCAGTCATGTTATTTCTTAATTTATTAAATTTCAAGCTTACCAGCCACAGGTCTAGAGAGGGTTCATGGTTGAATAATTCAATACTTAGGCTATTAAGCTTCACTTGCATCAATGTATACAGTGTGCCTTGCTTCAATCTAAGTCTGCGATGGGTCTTTAAAAGCTTTAGCTGTGAGAATTAATGTTGTCTCACAAGGCACACTGGTTGGTGGAAGGCTGAAGAGTATGTCAATAAGCTTATAGAGCTGACAAAACTCCTCTTCATTTGCATGGAGGTCTGCCAATGTCATTGATGTCAAAGAGTCTCCATGTCTGAAATAAACAGTTATTACGGTGCAATTATTAAATATTTGATATAGTTAACATTCTTAAAAATTTTAGTTATGCACATTTAAAAGTTATTTATTGATCAATCAATGACATCTTTACACAAACATTTATATTAAAAAAAATAATTTATTGATTAATTATCTTTCAGGTAAGAAGTAAATCAAAGTGAAGCACAAAAGCAACACCTATTGTATTGTAAAAAGTTTGAATATCAACCTTTTCTTCATTATCTTCTTGAAAGATATCCACTGTAGGCTGACAGTATCTGCAGAAAATTCCCCATCAGAAGTCTTAAGGAATGTCGCATAATGCTGGGCAGCCATTGTGACTTCTTCATTTCCAAATGCTGCATTGTAAAATATGGATGGTTATGATTAAGTTAGTTTAAACAGATGTCATCAAATTTAAAAGGACAGGAGATAATAGTTTTTCTGAAATATTTTATTCAATTTACTGTTAGGTTTTAAATTTATCAAATAATTTGCATTTTGTACTGTACAAAAACAAAGCACCCATAAATTATCATTTTGTTTTTGGAGATAAAAATCATATCAAGTTTGTTTGTTAACTGAATAAACAAAAAAAACACCAACTTTCAATCTGAAAAACAAGAGGCAACAAAAATGAAAATCAACAGCAACAACAACAACAATTTGTTTTAACCTTCGAATAACACATCATTGTGTGTCGGCCAACTTTTTGTCCTTAGGATTTTGGTTGCTTTGACAAGCGTCATAGAATCTCTATCCAAATCAAATCTGATTTTTAATGCAGAACAAATGCCCTGAATTATATCAGATTTGTAAGACAGTGTTGGTGATGACCCTCGTAACTTGACATCTTTGTAATGGCCAGTGGTTATTAAGTCATTAATTTCGTTCATTTCCCTGTTAAGATTAAACTTATATATTTAAATAACTTGATGATAAATTATCATTTAAAGCTTTTTTAACATAATATGTAAAATCACAGAAATAGCAAAGAAAATATTTTATACTGATAATCAAATGCAGGTTACAGTACCTTGTTTCCAAACTCATAACTAGCTCCATTGTTGTTTCTATCCAAGCCATGGCATCTGCTAAGGTTATATCTTGGCGTTGCAGCTTTTCTTGCAAATTACACAGGGGCTCAAGAAGTTTCTAAAATGCATTAATGATGTGTATATCGATCAGTGCATTAATAATGTATACATATCAATCAATGTCTTATGAGATGTTGGTTTTGCCAAGAATGATGATTGAATTTGAGTGAAATTTGTATTGATTAATCTCTTCACTGAAACGGTTTAATTTCCTTCAGAAATGATTTATTTAAATATAGTTGAAATACTGTTTGTTTCAAATGTCAAAAATGTAAACCTGCATAAAAAGGGCAAAAGTTAGGACATGCTTGTCTAGCATAATCTTCACTAGCCCTTCAGCCTTGGCATTTGTGTGGCTAGCATCACTCATATGGGTGTTGTATGCATTGAAGTTTCGGAGTAGAACAGCTATGCCTTGTTTCATATGAGGAAGCCAGCGGGTACCTGTAACTTTGGGTGGCATATGGGGCTTAACTTTAATAACCTCAAATGCACTCATAAGTCCTTTTTTGTTTTTATATTGCTTTGTGTAGAAGTAGTAAACCCCAATAAGAAGTGTCATTAACTTCTCATAAAGCTTGTTTTTCTTCACAGCATCTCTAAATGCCAACTCAAGGCGGTGGCTGAAACAATGAACATTTACAAAATGCTCCCCGATATCTTGCTTCAAGAGTGTTGCCAGTCCTCCCTTGCTTCCAACCATATTTGATGCTCCATCTGATCCGAGGCCAATCATTTTATCTAAAGTATACTTTAAAAGCTGAGATGCAAAGCAAAAGAAAATGTAGAAAAAAAGTCCAGTAAAAGGGTTAGAAATGACCAAATGAGCTTGACGTAAAGAACAGGATACAGCAAACATATTTTTCATATTTATAAAAGTGCACACACAAGCATTCATAAGTAAAATGCAGTTAGAACTTTACATAAAAATGTATAGAAACAGTGATTTTATGGTTCAGGATTTGATGAAAGTTCACAATTTAATTACTGTGATATGATTTTTTTATAAGCTTTTTTATATTAGGTAGTAAGACAAGGTCTAAAACCTTTATTCAATTTAAGTGCTCCTATGGCCCCATCAACAAACTCTTAAAGATCTTTGGAGCATGTGCTTTTTGGGGAACCGATGCCAGCAAAACGTTCAATTATTTTTCCATTTAATGCAGCTCTAATATAAACACATTCCTGTTCATCACCCAACAAATCTGTTGTACCATCCATTAATAAAGAGTATGCAGGTGCTGTGTTTGTAAGTTTGGTAGTCTTGTCCCTCTCTGCATCTGCAATGTAAGATAAAAAAACAAGAGCAGACTTTGGATTCCTGTAAGTTTTTCCTAAATCAACACCATTTGCCTCAATTACATCACATAGCCAAGTGAAATCTCTGAGGGGACGGCCTTGTTTACCCAGTCCATGTGCTGCCCGAAACAAACAGGCAATTCTATGCTTCTCTGATGCCTTCATAGACAGAAGTGTCTTTCCAGCAACAGATTTTGCTTGCTGCACTGGGGTAGAATGTTTGGCCTTTTCCCTAGAAATTGCATTTACATGGCTTGTACTATTTTCATGATCAGTGATTGAGGACTTTTTCATATTTGTGCTACCTGTTATGAAGGCATTTTTTCCTTTTAAATTTGATCCGCCAGACCCCGATGTACCATAAACATTAATACAGGCAGAACATGTTATAACCCCCTTTTCCTTATCAAATTTTAACCAAGGACGCCCTATTTGCCACTCATAGTTGAACGATCGATCTACCCGTTTTTGTTCATAATCTTTCCAGCGTTTTTTAGCATCGTCCTTGGTTTCACTTTCAGTTTTCTTTCGTTTGATAGGTTGGCCGGGTTTTGCCCCTTCAACATATTTCAGTGAAAGCATATTTAATATATTTGCAATGTTTTAAATGCTAATTTAATAATATTTATAATAATATTTGTATGAAAACGAAATCACCTGATTATCGTAGCGTGACCTTCAGTGTAGAATCAAAACAAACGCGCTTAAATGCTGGGAACCGGCAAGTCATGCGGAGTGATTTCCCTTTTCAGCAATAGCATACGTCATCAAAATGTTAACTATCCGGCTATAGTCGGCCATTTAAATTATAGTGTGACGGAAAATAGCGGAAATAAAATATGCATGACGTAGCTGAGGTATGCAAATTAAGCTGTCAAAACAAAATGTTGATGACGTTATCAATAAAAAGGTCATTTATATATTTATAGCTTCTGGAATTTTTATTCGGACACGAGGACTGACGGAAAGGAAATTTATCTCGGACCGCATGATTTTTATTCGGCCATGACTGACGGACTTTCGCACAGACTGCATAGGTAGCACCTAATTTGAATTTCATATTATTATCATTTTTATTTCTGTTTTTAATAGCGAGCTCGACGAGCTGGACCGAAGGGCCTGCTCGCAAAGCGAGCTTTACGGTAACGCGAGTACCTGCTAAGTGATGGTTTTGAAAACTTTCGTCCGAAGTACCGAATTGGACACATCGCAACTTTTCGAATTTAAAAATAACGATAAAAACTGAGGAATTCTGATTGAAAACGGATGTGTAGACTGGTCACCCGCGAATTTTGTTGTGAAAACTATCTAGAATGAAAGAAAATGGTCTAACTAAGAAAATGAATCCGAACACCAATATCTTTTATTCAGTCGTTAACGCTGTACAGACGTTTAAAGTATTGTTTACGTGACGTCACAATGTAGCGCCAAACAGCACGTGCAAAACAATCAAATCAAGTACGCTATTTTAATGTCGTAAACGTTTAAAGTTTTACATTTATTTCACTTTTAATAATCTTTATTTCGCTTGAAAATTTATAGAGTGAAATAAAATAAACAAACAAAGTTTTATCAGCGTTTTCAAAACTCGTTATTCATTTAACGACAGGGGCGTAGCCATATTTAACACAGAATGTGTACACTGCATTTGAAATAAAAATGAGCGATTATTTCATACTATTTTACGTTAAAAGTACATCGAGCTCGCTTTGAGGCTATGCCTTTTTCATATTAGTCTTTAAAACATAGATCTTGACGTGCACTTTAAAATGGTTCATCATTTTACATTGTGAGCTTTTTTGTTATATGAATTCTGGCCTACTTTCACTTTGGACAGACTTGGTGAAAACAACATGGAAAACAAACATGGCTGACAAAGCAGAATCACCTTAAATTTACAACATATATTACCTGCTCGCGACGAAGATCTGCATCTTTCGTTACTTTTTCCGGAGAAATTGGTTCTTTACCCATTGCAAGAGTGGGGTAATGTCAAAAAGAATTAAAGATTATTATTTAATAAATTGACCATCCGCCATTTGTAAACAAACTTCAATGCACACCATAAAGTATCTATATTATAAGATCTGTATAATATAAAATTATAAATACAATGATAATTATAGATTTGATTATTAATTGTCAATTTTGTCAATAAGAGATTTTTAAATTAAATTAACACAGGATTTGATATAAAATCATAATGAACATCAGTAACGAACATTTCGCTCTATTAATAATTCGTCCTAAATTATATTTGCGTGTTTTTTGTTTTTATTATTAGTGAATTTTATAAAAACATCTAATTAAAAAGTTACACATTTGTTTTAAATTAAGAGACCATCGAGGATTATTCACATTCGTATGAAATATATTTGAAAATCTTTATTAATTTAAGACATGTTTCTTAATAAGCGAATCGTTAATAGGACGAATCCCTCTGATCATGCGGATAGTGTCGGTTTTCATGATAAATGTAAACACGTGAAATAATCAGTCGGAAATAATCGTGCAATTTTGTGTCAACATGGAAAGAATTAAAGAAATAAGGACACGTGTTGAGTTAAAAGAACATGGTCTTGAAAATGTAAATATTTTGATTGTCTTGTTATGTGTGTCTTCACCCTTCCTCCTAGCTTTAAACAGTGTTAAAGTGGTAAAACAGGTTAACACTAATTAAGTGAAGTCAGCATGCCCAATTTTTAACGGGTCCTAATAAACACGTGAAATAACCGTGCAATTTTGTGTCAACATGGACCGATTTTTAACACTGAGTGATCTAAAGAGTGCCACCAATTATGCAGCATGATGCTAAGATTTTAAAGGTCTCCGGTCAAGAATAGCTTTAACTGTTAAGATAGGTCACAACAGGGTCAGCAAAATTAAATGTCCGTATTGCACAGCTTGTCTCACTGCCTCTTAGGAGAAGTAGAAATTTTCAAGAATTCACAGTACAGATTTACCTGGTTTATTTGAACTTTATGTTATTTCAAATTTAAAGTACAGATTTCCCTAGTTTATTTAAACATTCTGTTATTTCAGATTCAAAGTACAGATTTCCCTGGTTTATTTCAGTGTTTTTTTTCTTTATATAACTACTACCCTAAAACGGTACTGTTCCCAATAGAAAATAGACATTAAAATTCCCAATTTCCAATGTTAAAATTCCCAAAATGGCTGTTCAAAATTTCCACAAGGCCAAGAGATTTCTCTGAAATCATTTAAATCCAACATATCCATATAAATCATCACTCAATAGTTCTACCTGGACAGCGGAAGCTGTTAGCTATCTTTCTTCTTGATGACTATCTAATTTGTTGCTGAAAAAATGCATAAAAAAATTCCCAATTTAAGTCAAAATAACACATTTTTCCCAATCAGTCTGGTACCGGCACCATTCCCAACATAGAGAAAAAAAACACTGTATTTAAATATTCTGTTATTTCAAGTTCACAGTACATATTTCCTTGGTTTATTTGAGCATTCTGTTATTTCAGGTTCTCAGTACAGATTTCCCTGGTTTATTTAAACATTCAGTTATTTCAGGTTCAAAGTACAGATTTTCCTGGTTTATTAAAACATTCTGTTATTTCAGATTCAAAGTACAGATTTCCCAGGTTTATTTCAGTGTTTTTTTTTCTTTATATAACTTCTACCCTAAAATGGTACTGTTCCCAATAGAAAATAGACATTAAAATTCCCAATTTCCAATGTTAAAATTCCCAAAATGGCTGTTCAAAATTTCCACAAGGCCAAGAGATTTCTCTGAAATCATTTAAATCCAACATATCCATATAAATCATCACTCAATAGTTCTACCTGGACAGCGGAAGCTGTTAGCTATCTTTCTTCATGATGACTATCTAATTTGTTGCTGAAAAAATGCATAAAAAAATTCCCAATTTAAGTCAAAATAACACATTTTTCCCAATCAGTCTGGTACCGGCACCATTCCCAACATAGAGGAAAAAAACACTGTATTTAAATATTCTGTTATTTCAAGTTCACAGTACATATTTCCTTGGTTTATTTGAGCATTGTTATTTCAGGTTCTCCGTACAGATTTCCCTGGTTTATGTAAACATTCAGTTATTTCAGGTTCAAAGTACAGATTTTCCTGGTTTATTAAAACATTCTGTTATTTCAGGTTCACAGTACAGATTTCCCAGGTTTATTTAAACATTCTGTTGTTTCAGGTTCACAGTATAGATTTCCCAGGTTTGTTTCAACATTCTGTTATTTCAGGTTCACAGTAAAGATTTCCCAGGTATTCAAACATTTCAGGTGTACAGTACAGATTTTCCAGGTTTAATTGAACATTCTGTTATTTCAAGTCCACAGTACATATTTCCCTGGTTTATTTAAACATTCTTTTTTTCAAGTTCACAGTATAGATTTACCTGGTTTATTAAACATTCTGTTATTTCAGGTTCACAGTAAAGATTTCCCAGGTATTCAAACATTCTGTTATTTCAAGTTCACAGTATAGATTTACCTGATTTATTTAAACATCCTGTTATTTCAGGTGTACAGTACAGATTTTCCAGGTTTAATTGAACATTCTGTTATTTCAAGTCCACAGTACATATTTCCCTGGTTTATTTAAACATTCTGTTATTTCAAGTTCACAGTATAGATTTACCTGGTTTATTAAACATTCTGTTATTTCAGGTTCACAGTACAGATTTCCCAGGTTTATTTAAACATTTTGTTATTTCAGGTTCACAGTACAGATTTACCTGCTTTATTTAAACATCCTGTTATTTCAGGTATACAGTACAGATTTTCCAGGTTTAATTGAACATTCTGTTATTTCAAGTCCACAGTACATATTTCCCTGGTTTATTTGAACATTCTATAACATGTATTTCAGGTTCACAGTACAGATTTCCCTGGTTCTTATGAGGGATATGACGACACATGGAGTCAGGAAAAGTTTGAAAAGGTTTGTCATTTGACTTGAAAAAGAAAAAAAAATATTGAGAAAATTTACTATGGTATTAAATGTTTATAATGTAAGAAAAATGCTAAGTATTGCAATATGCAAACAAAAACAATACTGCAAGGTACTTGAATATTTTACCAAGTATTGCAGGAGATTGCAACATACATGTACTATAAATATTGGTTAATTATTGCATTTATTTGCGATTTTATTTATTTTTCACTGTATTATAATGACTGACATCAGGTTCAGTAAAGTGAAGCAAATATTGTTTCTCACAAAGTCTTTGTTAGTTTAAAAGTAAGCTTGAAAACAAAACAAAAACAGTATTACATTTATCATTATCTAAAATATCAATTTTTGTAATATGTTTTGTAATATGTATTGATAAGAATATAGAAAAAAGATATTAAAAGAAATGAAATGTTGAGCTATTTGTACATTAAATATTGCAGAATTTTAGGATAGAGATTGGAAGATTGACAGCAGATGAGTTAGAATTTGATATGATTGGTGTTGATGCAGCCATAGCAAACGCTTTCAGAAGAATATTACTTGCAGAGGTATGAAAACTAATATGTTTATTGTGATTTTTGAGGACATTGTTATTCATTTATTTGTACAGTAACACCTCTGCAGAATAACACCCTTCAGGAGACAAAGAATTTGGGTATTGCTAAGAGGTGTTTCTCTAAGGAGGTTAAATGTATGGTAGAATGGTGCTTCAGGAAATTATACTGTTGTTGTAAAGGAAGCTTGTAGCTAGTTCGAACCACTTTAATGTCCCATTTCATGAATCATATAATTATTAATGTCATATGAGGAAATATGGCTGAAAGTCACAATCCATTGATGTAGATGCAGACACCTTAACCATTATGGCCATTGTTTCTCATAATTTTATTTTATGTAGGATTTAAAAATGATGTTTCATATAAGAATAAGAAACTGATAAATACTTGACGCAACTCTGTAAAAATGTTTGGTATAATGGACATGTACATGTTCTGTTTAGATATATATTTTAATTTTGGAAATGGTTGGAATATTTTAACACTAAGTCTCTGTTCTTTTTTGCCAGTGTGTATGTCTGTCTGTCTGCATAGACTGCATAATCCTCATTCTATTTGCTTCAGCTTCTTACTTTGACACAGCATATCATTAATTGAGTTGTCATAGTAACATACCTGAAAGACTACGATTTTGACCTTTAAATGACCTTGACCTACGGTGTCAGATTTTCAAAATTCAGTAAATTTCACCATAACCTAAATACTCATTAACAAATTTTAGAAAAGGGCAATTGTGCTTTTCAATGCTTAGTTTATGTATATTTGCCAGGTACCAACAATGGCAATAGAGAAGGTTCACATATACAACAACACATCAATTATACAAGATGAAGTCTTAGCTCACAGACTAGGGCTGATACCTATCAAAGCTGATCCAAGACTGTTTGAATATAAACAAGATGGTAAATTAACATATGTGTTTTGAATTTACTAAAGAACTTTTCTCTGTTACATTTATGTTATGGACTTGACCTATGTCTATGTTGGAACAGTCTATTGTTACTTAAAAGGGAGTTTAATACCTTACCATGCAGAATAATGATAAGCCTTTGCCACTTTCTGCAGTCTAGCCAGGCTCTATAGTGTTAAGAGCTCTTTTTTTTGTATTTTGATAATGAAATCACATTAATCTTTAATGGACTATTCTGAATTCAGAATAGGGCAAAAATATTGCAAAAATTCTGCAGGGTAACATCAAGGTGAAGCAGACCACACTGTAAATTCAGATAAGAGTGTACAGATATGCATGCTAGCTTTCCTGTATATATTGGTGGCCGTGACAAGTATTTCTTGCTGTTAATGCTGAGTTGAGGCACAGTAATAATCCTGTAATAATCAACATTTTCAATAAGCTAACCAACAAAAGGAAGTCCAGTAAACCATATTTATTTAAGATAAATTGCAGACACTATTAACATGCACCTTTGTTATTTATACAATTAAAACTTTAAAGGTAGTAATTTTTGTTAATTTCATCTCCTGTGTGATGGATTACTTTTAGAACTGTATGTTTTGAATGTAACATAATTTCTAGATCAAAATACTAAACATCTATCTGACTATCTGATAAGAAATCATCTCTTAAATAATGCTATTCAGCAAGTAAAACATTGGAAGATCTAAAACTTCAGTCAGATTGAACTTAAGCTCACAACAGATAGATTTTTTTTGTACAGATTTTCAGGCTGGCCTGGTGCTATATCTAATCATTGTGTTTCTTATTACAGTTGATTCGGATCCGACAGAAGAGGATACTATACAGTTTGAACTCAAGGTGAGATGTACACGTAATCAACATGTTAAAGATGCAACTGATCCAGATGAACTATATAAAGATCATAAAGGTATTTTGCTTATCTTTTTTTTGCTATATGAGAAAAGTTATTTCCTGTATTGATTTGTTGATATATCTAGAGATCGTGGTTGCTGAGTGGTCAAAGTTGCTGATCTGTGACTTCTTGAAATGTCAGTGTTGAAATTTATTTATTATATTTGTTGTGTAAATTAGAAATAAAAAAATTGATACCCAGAAAAATTCTGCTTGGAAGTGTTGGCTTTCGTTGTTAGTTTTAGAGATTTAATAACAACAGTTTCAAATTGAGTGGATAACAATATTGAGTCTGGTTAGACTGAAAGGAGTTAAATTGGCTATAGGCAAGCCATGGTTTGTGTGTGATATAATAATAATGAAGACTCTATTTAAAGAGGCAACACATGTAAATTGTATGTACATATTACTCTTGTTTTTCAGTGACATCAAAGCATTTGAAATGGATTCCAGTTGGTAATCAAGCACAGATAGTAAGTGATTAGATGACATGACATATTCTGTGTTATATGAAAATTAAATTAGAAGACTTATTAATCAAAAGTAAATGCTGCCTTAAAGTTATTAAGCCAAACATACAACCATTTGTTACAATAAGTCTAGTTTTGTCTGAGTTGTTCATGTTGTCGACTTAGAAATCACTTGCCCCTTGTAACATGGACTTTGGATTTTTCCATGTGAAAAATCTCTACAGCTTGACTATAGAAATGGTCAATGGTTCTAGTCAAGGGCCCTCTTGGGCCTGGTATAATGCAGGGAGAGGTACCTGAAGTCTTCCTCCACAACTAAAACAAAAAAGTTACTATTTATCATTATTATTTTTGTGTCTGCTCTGAATTGGGTACTGGCCATTGAGAGTTTGTAGGATTTCTGAACAAAACATTAAAATAAAGTAGCAGTCAGTATAAATTTAAAATGGTTGAAAATAATTCGTAAAATATCATCATAGGTGTGAATGCTGGCTTTGCTATATTTTTATAGTATAAGCAATGATGATTATTGCACTCTTGGAGTTAACATTGAAACTACTACATGTATGTAGGGATGAACTTAGTTATAGCAGTCATACCATATCATTATTATCTTGCTTATATATGTTGAAAGTAACATATTATTGAATAGATTTTACAACTTAAGTTTTGTAATTGTTCATTAAACTTGCAGTTTAAAGAAGGTGACATAAGACCAGTACATGATGATATTCTGATAGCTAAACTTAGACCAGGACAGGTAAGTTGGGAACCATTCAATATATTTACATATGATTAGTTTATACAAATTTATTTTAGTTTGATTGTGTTAGAAGTTATAAGCTTCTTGAAACACTCTGGAATCTGTTCCTGGAACCAACCAGTACTAAGCAATGAATGTAAATTTTCTTGCTCATGGAAACAGCAGCTTGTCCCTGAAGAGGTTTGAACCCATGCAGTCAGCAGTCCTTAGATTACTAGTCTGATGTGTTCACCATTTGGCTATATTGAACCACTGTTACATTCAAATTTTTAACCTATTTGATAGTAATACAATATGATAGTTATGCCCTCATAATACCAATTGATTATGTGACTTATTTCATATCCTGCCTGTATGTCTCTCTGCAGAAAATTTTAACCTTGATTTTGCCCACAAGATAGACTTTAAAAATAATCAGGAAATTTCATTATAGTGTAGTTATTTAATTATAAATTAAGACAGGGGCACTATATATTACCAACATGTCTTACAGCTACACTCTGTATATGGTATAATTTTAGGCTGTGAACATAATTACATTTGCATAGAAAGATGTATTATCTTGATGGTCAAAACAAACATATTACTGACACATTTCAGGAGTTAGATTTGAAGTTATTTTGTGTGAAAGGTATTGGACAAGATCATGCCAAGTTCTCACCTGTTGGTAAGTAAAACAATGATTGGTATTTGTAACTTCTAATTCAGCAACACAAGCAGCAAAATATTACATAGACTTTCACCTTCAAAATTTGTGGGATTGACTTGCCCTAGCTTTACTTGATAGACTGATTTCAATATCCGTAAATTAGAATTTAAGGACCAACAGTATAGAGTCTGGTAAGGTTTTACAGATATTTAAATCAGGCATTGTACTGATGACCTAGTTACTAATGTCCAGTGACTTAATTTCAAAGATAATAACTAAAATTTTAACATTTGTATACATTGTCTTAGAACTATGATGGATAGATCAGTTCATATTTAATTTACAAAATTATATTTCAAAGTCTGTAAACTTTTTTTACATCCTTATCTTACATTAATATAGTAATTTGACAAGATTTTGTGATGTTTCTGGTCAATTAGATGCATACCCGATTCTGTTAAAACCTTTGGAGTGACTAAATATGATGATGTTTGTCAACAAATTTAGTATGAGTGTAAAAGGTACTTGCTCTTGTGAGAAAAGGAGACAAATGGTTATTGTCCCATACAAATGTTGTTGATGTAGAACATTTTTGTTCAAGTTTAAGTCACTTTTCTCGTTACTCATTAAAGACAGCAATACTTTTATGCCATTATCTTACCAAATGAAATATTTTATTTTAAATTTACGAACACTGAAGTTTAGATTTGCATTTTGTGTTTGTAGCTACAGCCTCCTACAGACTGTTACCAGATATAACTTTGTTAAAGCCTTTAACAGGAGAACTCGCTGTGAAGTTACAGAGATGTTTCTCTCCAGGAGTTATTGAACTTGATATTGTAGATGGTGAGTATACCAAGTATTACACTCTAGTGTTCTCAGTCATGCAATCAAGGTACCAATGTTTAAGATAAGAAAAAATCATTAAGCATGCATTGGTGACCACCTAAAATTGGTTATGTTTAAAAAGTAAATGATTTTATTTGGTGGGAGTAGTATATCCGAAATTATTTTCCAAAGTCATATCATATATATATGTCTATTTACTACTAGTATATCCCAATTGTGGATAAGGAGTTCCCTTTAATGGTTGAGGCATCAGAATTTTAGCCACCTTTAATTTGGGCATGATCATAACAGACGACTAAGTTGGTTCGAATTACGGGAGTCTGTCTATCTGTAAGCCTGTTACATCCTAGGTTAGCCAAAATCATCTTTCCTGTTTATGACCTAAATTGTGTTTGTGCACCATAATACCAAACAAAACGAACTACATTTGCATACTAGTATACATGTTTTGTATGATCAAAATAGTCAGATAAACTTTAAAGTTAAGACATTTAAATGAATTCCTACATAATATTCCTTAAATGAATTCCTACATAATATTCCTCTGAATCTGTGTGATTGAAATAAGTAATGTTATATAAGAAGTAAAAGTGTATAATGTATATTTTATATAGGTGAACAGAAAGCTAGGGTAGCCCATCCTCGTAAAGATACATGTAGTCGAGAAGTGTTCAGACATGATGACCTTAAAGACTTGGTCAAATTGACCAGGGTCCGAGACCATTTTATATGTAAGTTATAATATTTATCTTATTATTAGTCCCCCACCGGGGGACTTTCCCGGACATCCGGGACGTTATGGCATGTATGTAATTATGTAAATAAAATTCTGGTCATCAACCACATCATATGTGACAAGGTTTTAACTCAAGCACAAAAATATCAGAATTGCCTCCCTTGAACTTACATGAAAAAGCATGTGTTTTTTTTTTATAACTTCTTTATTTCTTAATGTATCTTCTTCAAACTTCATATATATGTTTCTTATTATCACTCAAATCTAGGTTAGAAGGTTCAATACTCTAGCAAGACGATTTCGAGAATTATGTCCCCCTTGAACTCAGATTTTTTTCGAGAAATTGGTATATTTTACTCCAACTTCTTCATTACTTATAGGATTTACTTCAAACTCCCACATCATAAATACTATATGTCTAATACTGGTGGTTGCCTAGTGATTAAGGTGTCTGCCTCTCAACCCAGGGATCATGGCTTGAGCCCTACTCCGGTTACGATTATGTTTCTTCATTTCACACCAGTACTGGTTAGTTTCAGGAAACGAACTTCAAAGTGATTAATATAAGTTGCAAGAACCTGTTTTGTAATCCAAGCTAAAATAAATATGTTTGAACTAAACTAAATTTGTCAACCATTGATAGGCCATGTAATATATATTATAAAGTTAGTTATAATAGATGGAAATCTACAATAATACTGAGAAAAAAGTACTTGAGCAGTCTTTAACTCTTTGGAAACTTTTACCATTTTAGTGTTAGCAGCAATAATAAGTTGCCAGTGTCAGCCATATAGAGCCAGATAACCTGTACCATCATGCAGTCTGACCAGGCTCTGTAATGTTGCCTGTTTAAGTGCTTTGTCAAGTTGAAACCATCTCCAGTAACAAAGAAAAGTTTCAAATTCATAACGACATGTGCACAATGATTAAGATTAAATGAACATATTATCTAATTATGGTTTATTTATGAGATTTGTATTTGCGACTTTGTATTTTTCAGTCAGTGTAGAATCAACAGGAATCCTGGCACCAGAGGTGTTAGTGTCACAAGCTATACAGGTACTCATGGCAAAATGTAGAGATGTTATTCGAGAACTTGATGATAAAACTGTATAGTTGCTGATCAAACAAATAAAAAAACACCATAAAACAAATATATGAATTGTTTTCCTTTACATGGTATTGTCTTTATTTCATGAAATGTTAATTTTATTATCCCTGGCTTTCTCATTTGATCATGTACAAACCTATACATATTTCAACTTGTATTGAAGGAAATTGTGACTTTTTAGTCTCAGAAAAAAAAATCTGATTAAAATCAATAGATTAGCAAGTAAAAATCATTAAAAGATGTGAGGACTGTATTGTATAGGGTAAAGTCAGACTGCATACTCAAAAATGGCTGCATAGAAAAGTCATAATGGTGAGTTAAATAGATGTTACAAATAAAAAAAATATTTATAGCTTAATATTATAAATCAAAGACACAATTTATTGCCTTTTTGAGCTGTTTTTAAGTACTGTTGAAAAATAATGGTTAAAAATAATGTCCTAATATAATGATGATATAGATACATAACCCTGGGACACTGTCATATACCTGAATATTCATAGAGGGAGGAAATAATTAAATCTTCTTGAATCTTTCACTTTGAATTACTTCCCTTTGCTTTTAGAATTATTGGTTTATTCCTCTTTGATTCAAATTGGTGTTCAAACACTACAGTTCTACAATTATTGATACAATTGTAGATAATTGTTGTTCTAACAAAGATTTTAAATGGGTTGCTAAGTAACAAAATTTCATTTAAAAGCTTTACTGTTATTATTTCACATTTCATATTCAGATTTCTTGTCAAGGTGAAATCTTAATGGCTTTATTATACTATCAGATACAGATTAATAACATTTTATTAATAACATTACATATTAATATGGTGCCAGTGGAAAGTACTATAATACTCTGATTATTGAAACACTTTACAATTTCCCAATGACAAAAGCATATATCTAGATATTAATATAATATTAAATAGTAGTGGAACTGTTGCTTAATATGTTTATTATATATTAAATATATCCATAAGGTGACTTTAAAGTTAAATTGACTGATCATTTTGTGAAGATTGTAAAATAAGATTAAAGGGAACATATCAAAAGATACTTGGTTCTGGCCACACAAAAGAATAACTGCTGCACAACAATTATCATTTAGTGTTATTAACCTTAAACTATGCATCCAGTATAGAGTCAGGCCAGCCTAAAAAGGCCAGCCTGCAATCAATGCAGTTGATATTGAAATCCTTTAAATGAAAATTAGCATGATTCTGGAGGCGCGCTGCTTTAACAGGTGACTGTCAAAATAAGTTTTCATTTGCCACAATTCCTTTCAATTTCATAATTAACTTTGCATGAACTATAAATAACTCATGTGGCCCAAGGAAGTGTCTGTGAATATCATCAAAATTTACCTGAAAAATTTGACAATTTTTTTTTACCTTTTATATTTTATCCTAAACATTTTCCAATATCAAGTGTTGGTCAATCACAGTGTATAGTTAATTCAGCTCAACTTGACTATGACAAAATTAGCATGTGACAAAAAGTTAAATTTAGATAACTTGCAAAAAGAAAATGTTTTGAAATATTATTATTATGAATGATATACATTTTCAAGATGCTTTAATAGGTAATTGGAAAAAGATCTCTTGATTTTAATGAAAACAGTATCCACAATTCGTGAAGTTAGATTTTGATAAAGATTTCTGTATGTTGTAAATTAAAATGTTTGTCATTTAAATACTTTATTTATGGAACAGTCCAAATCTTAATTTTTTATTTGAAAAAAAAAGAACAAGAGCACCGCTAGGCAGAGCATTATATGCCCGAAAGTGATATTTTTTTAGTAAAGATGAAGCATTTGTAAGATATGGGAATTAAATAAATAATTACCTCCTTCAAATAACAATCTACCTATGATGTTACCTACGGAAACCAAATTGCTTACAGACGGATGGACGGACGCCAGGGGGTATAACATAATATGCTCGAAATGATTTCGGGCATATAAAAAAGAAAAGGAGTACATATCACACTGGTAAAAGACCTGTTAAATATTTTAATATTTAATTTATTATTTCTCTTAAATTGAAAGATAGAAATTGATTCTGTCTGGTTTATTTGAATTTCAACATCCATCGTGACCTAAGGTCAGGCATAGTTTTAAAGAGAATTCTACTGGGGCTCTATTTTTAAGAGTACTGCTAAACATTTTTGAACATTATCTTTGAATAAATTATAAAATGATATGTTGTTTTAATAATTTTTGTTACTTAAAAGTTTATTTAATTTAAAACATAGGAACGCAATGATTTGTTTTAACATGCAACCTTAAGATTAAAATTATCATAAAGTATATCATTGTCTCTAAAGCTCAATAGCTGAAGACAACCTTTTTGCACCAATTAAAGTTATAAATTTAACATTTCAGTGCAAAATTCTCTGTAAATGTAAACCATGGAAGGCACCATATATCATTTTACTTTCCATTATAAGGAATGGCATAAACTGTTCACATTATCGTCAAATCCATTAACTGCTTCGGCTTTTGTTGCGTGAAAATCTCTTCCTGAACAAAAATATGCGTGCATGCAAATTCTTTTAATTTGCAGGATGCATCACAATAATCAAGCAGTGCACATGATTGTTATTTCAGAACATGTTCCCTATGTTTATATTCAATTATCACGGTTGACTGAATTCTACTGTCTCCATAACATCTGAAGACTTTTCACCTGATTCGTTTCACAGATATGCCAACATTTACATTTCTTAGAAAATCTACTGTGTCTTGATTGGCATTTTGGTGTTTATTTTTACTAATGCATCTTTAAGGCTGCTACATACATCTATATACCTGACTACCCAAAACATTTATGAAATCTAAACCAAAGTTGGTGTAATAACCTGATGATTTTTTTCCTTCCTGACTTTTCTGACAGTTAATTAATTTACTGCCTGATAGGGGAGTAGGTGTGTTAGAGAAATTTTTTATCTGGATTTGTGATCAATTGTTTATACATTTTTACCTATCTCACTACAAGTATTTGGCGAATAAGAATCTTGTTCTTTTCCAACATTTGTGTTCACTTGATTTTTGTAATTTTCTCAGTCATTTATGGCATGTAAAGAGTTTGGGAGGCTGTCAAAACAAAATTTTGAAGTTTCTTCGTGCACCTTTTTTAACATTCAACAAAAAATTCTAAAATTCTTGAATAAAATAACAGAAAAGGATATTCACCCCTGTTTAAAATTCTAGTGTCACAGTGCAGGTTCTTCAAAAAAGTATTGCATTATTAATGGTGCCTAGCAACATTTTGGTTACTCTAGCTTTGAGCAATAAATCTTAAGGACGTTTCCGGGAGTTTTCATATAGACATATAGGCAAAATGAAAACTGTTCAATAGAATTTTTTTAAACTTGGCATAACAACATGCCAAATTTGAAGAAATTCTATTGAACAGTTTTAATTTTGCCTATATGTCTATATGAAAACTCCCGAAAACGTCCTTAAGCTTTAGATTACATTTTGTATGTTTGTAGTAAAAAGGGTAGATGGAATATTATATTGCTTGATTTATTATTTTTAGCTCGACTATTCGACTATCCTCTAGCTGTGGATTTGTAAGTGGTGCAATTATTAAATTTCTTTAGTTCTGAGTGTTTTTGCCTATTTTGCCCCTATAAATATTTATTGGAATTTGTTCACAAATCATATCAGATTGACTTCTGTCAGATCTTATTTAAAATGACATTAAATGTTGCTCCCTGCAGTGTTTATCAATATGCATATTATTGTATTTGATGATATCAGAACATATTTTGTTGAGCAAACAGTAATCACTTTTTAGCCTGTGATCTTGACATGACAGTGAAATTTTACTTAATTGTAATCCAAGATGTGTACTGGTGTTAAGATTAACACGACTGCAACCCTGGAGAAGGGCTCAAACCCATTGTTCTTGGGTTAAAGAGATGTACATTTTGTTCATTTCTGCTTTTACATTTGTTTGTCTGTATGGGTCTATGTATCTTCTGTTATCATTTTTAAATCCACATTATACTGTGTACAGGTGGTTTTATATTTAAAAGTTGAAGATTTTGATGCATTTGGAGAATAGTAACGTAACATTTTATAACAGTTTTGATTACATCGGGGATATTTTACTTTATCATAATGTTAGCGAAATGTTTGCTTGCATTTTTTATATACTGTCATTAAATTACATGGAAATGTAACTATAACAGTTTAGTCACGCCAGTCATCTAAATGTTGTACATCTCATCATGTAAGGACATATAAATAATGTTATGGTAAGATTGTTTGGGTTGAACTCGCTACATGTAAACACTCACTGTCAGTGACTTTCAATTTTCATTATCATTTCATATGGTAAACTGCTGACGGCTAATATTTAGCTCGACTATTCGAAGAATATGAGAGCTATTGTAGTCGCCCCGGCGTCGGCGTCGGCGTCTGCGTTGGTTTAAGTTTTTTGTAAAGTCAAATATCTCAATTATAACTTGAGATATTCAATTGAAACTTACAATACTTATTTATAGTAACAAGGTACATCAGATTGACAAGTTGGATAACTCTGCCTACAATATTGACAGAATTATGCCCCTTTTTAACTTAGAAATTTTGGTTAAAGTTTTTTATAAAGTCAAATATCTCAATTATTGCTTGAGATATTCAATTGAAACTTACAATACTTATTTATAGTAACAAGATACATCAGATTGACAAGTTGGATAACTCTGCCTACAATATTGACAGAATTATGCCCCTTTTTAACTTAGAAACTTTGGTTAAAGTTTTTTATAAAGTCAAATATCTCAATTATTGCTTGAGATATTCAATTGAAACTTACAATACTTATTTATAGTAACAAGGTACATCAGATTGACAAGTTGGATAACTCTGCCTACAATATTGAAAGAATTATGCCCCTTTGGAACTTAGAAATTTTGGTTAAAGTTTTTTTGTAAAGTCAAATATCTCAATTATTGCTTGAGATATTCAATTGAAATTTAAAATAATTTTTTATATAGTAACAATGTACATCAGTTTGCAAAATTGCATAACTTTGCC